ACTTTACTCTCTTGTGGGGGCCGCCAGGGGCCATGGTGGTTGGAGGACACATAAAGGTCACAGCTGGCCCCGGGGGAGCAGAGCCAGTCGGGAAAACCACATCACCCTCATCCTCGTTACAGGGCAAATACAGGGTCGGTCTGAGACATGCACAAAAAAATCTTAATTTATCCCCAACTGTCTACAGTTTATGAATGAATCTCAAAATAGCTTAGAACATTTTTTTCTTTTTACATCCATCGTACCCCCCCCCCCCCCATTCCAGTCTCACCTGTCAGAGAGCAGAGAATAAACGTCCGGGGCGGGGGTAGGGTGGCGTTTTCCACATCCGTCCCACGTTCTGTGACTCCCTGACGGTGGGCTCCTCCCGGGTCCCGCGTGCCGTCTCCGGCCCAAGGGCCCTGCTCTGTGCAGCGGCCGCCCGTCCACCCTGACACCTCAGCCACGCGGGTCCCCGGACACGGTCGGGCCTGCGAAGGACCCGCCCACACCTGGGGGCCACATCCCCAGCCGACCTGAGCGCCCTGACGGCCGCCCGGGGCACCGGGTCTCTGAGGCCCCGGCCTCTCTCTCTGCCTCACAGGACGTCTCTGTGTCGCGTCGGCCTTTCGTTCTCACCGTCTGGTGGCCGGCGGGGTCGCCTCCGCCCCGCCTTCCTAGCCGAGCCTCCATCGCTTGTGCCACAGATTCCCGCCGGACAGCAGTGGGCGGTCCTCCTTGTCGTCATTTCTGTCGATTGATTTTCTTTTTAATGTTTATTTTTGAGAGTAAGAGCAAGAGCGTGAGTGGGGGAGGGGCAGAGAGAGAGGGAGACACAGAATCCAAAGCAGCTCCAGGCTCCGAGCTGTCAGCACAGAGGCCGATGTGGGGCTCGAACCCACGAACCGTGAGATCGTGACCTGAGCCGAAGTCGGACGCTTAACCGACTGAGCCACCCAGGCGCCCCTGGATTGATTTTTTAAACACTTTTTAATAGATCTGGGATTACTTTTGTGTAAATGAAGGGAGGAAATATCTGTGTCGATTTCTGCTGTAACTTAACAGCCCCTTGGAAATCTGCCCGTGAGGTCTTTTTCCCTTGTTGCGCCAGCACTACCTTCACTGCAAACACCCCGGGGCAGTGCCAGGCATGTGAGTCCCAGCTACTGGGTTCTCAGATGCCCTTGACCGAGGTTCGCAGGGGGGTCGCTGGGGGCTGTGGGGACACGGTGTCCCCTTTCTTTGGCTGCTATGAGTCTCCAGACCTCATCACAGGGCGGGGCGTGGGGGGGACAGAGGATGGAACGGGGACTTTCCCCAGAAGGGGCCCCGCCTTGGGGGCAAAGGCTGCCTCCCACAGGCCCTTCCCAGGCTGGCCTGCTCTGCGGAGACGAGGACCCCTCCCCGATCCCCAGGAGGCCGGCGGGGGCATCGCGGGCTCGTCGCTGTGAGGAGGCAGCCCGGCCTGGGCCGCGGTGGCGCACTTGGGTCCACACAGCGGGCTGCCTACGAAGGCTTCTAACCACACTAGAAGGGACGGTCCCGGGGCCACGGCGTCACTCACATGGCACTGCAGCTGACGCCGGGCCGGATCGGGCGCCTGGAGCCCCCCCAGGGGCGTCCCTCCCCCCCCCCACCCGCCGGCCCCCGGGGGCTCCCAGACGCTAACTTGCTGGCGGCCGAGACGGCTCTGCACCGAGAAGACCGACAGACCCGACGGGGACTGGACAGGAGGCCGGAGCTCGGCGGAGAGAAATTCGAGGTCAGGGGGGTGCACTGTGCCCCCCGCACTCAGCTGTCCAGCTTCCAGGGCCAGGGAGGCCGGTCCGCCCCGGGTCACATTCGCCGGCCCTCACGAGGGGCGGGCTCTGCCGTCCGCGCCTGCACCGGCGTCCGCACGGTACCTCACAAACGGTGACCGGGAAGAACACGAGTTGCTGCGGGCACACGGGCCGGGGGGGGGGGGGGCCCGTCGGGCGGGGGGGGGCCCGCGGGGGCGCGGAGCACGTCGGGCCGGGGGGTGGGGGGGGCCGCGGGGGCGCGGAGCACGTCGGGCGGGGGGTGGCCCGCGGGGGCGCGGAGCACGTCGGGCCGCAGGCGCCGCTGGGACGTCCGCAGCCCCGCCCACGCCCCTCCGCTGACTCCAGGCCCTCGTGGGACGCCGCGTCCAGGGCGGTCGGAGGGGCCTGGCGTCGGCACAGGCGCAGAGAGCGGGGGAATGAGGAGGAAGGGCGGGGAAAGCCCGGGGCTCCGCAGTAGAGCCCCCCCCCCCCGCCGGGCACGGCACGGCGTGTGCCACCAGGGACTCACTGCCACATCCTTGTCCCCGTGACGAGCCCGCGACACGGTTCGGGTACCGCCCCTGGTGTGTGGAGAGGGCAAGCGGAGAGCAGCCCCCGCCCCCGAGACGGAGCCAGGACGGGCGGACGCGCGTCCCCAGTGGGCTGAGACAAGCGTGCTCCGGCCCCGAGGCGGAGGTGGGGTCCGGAGGCACAGCAGAAGGCCGTCCTGTGACCTGCCGCCTCGGCCCTCTCGTCTCTAATGCTGATAAGATAGACGTGACATCGTGACATCGTGTTGAGCATTTGACCCATTTGCAAGTGGCATTAAATCCATTCACAGGGGTGGGGGCGCCTGGGGGGCTCAGTCGTTAAGCGTCGGATTTCGGCTCGGGTCATGACCTCACACTTCATGGGTTCGAGCCCCGCGTCGGGCTCTGTGCTGACAGCTCGGAGCCTGGAGCTGCTTCAGATTCTGTGTCTCCCTCTCTCTGCCCCGCTCCCTCCTACTCCTCCCTCCCCCCCAAAAAATAAATAAACATTAAAAAATCCACTCACAGTGTTATATAACCGTCACACTATCTATACCAGGACTTTGTGGTCCTCCTGAACGGCAGCTCTGTCCCTGTCCCCCCCCCCCCCCCCCGCTCCTTTTCGTCTCCAGGAATTTGACTGCTGTAAGGACCTCGTATGAATAGAATCACACGCTATTCGTTTTTTCGGGTCTGGCTAGTCTCACCAGGCTACTGTTTCCAGGGTCCGTCCCTGCTAGCGCACGTGTCCGATTGTGTTACCGTCTAAGGAGGGGCGGCGCTTGCTGTCCGCGTAGACGCATGCAGTCTACCAGCCCTTCTGCGGACAGACGCCGGGCTCCCCGCTCTCGGCAGTGGGGAGTCGTGCTGCTGTGAACGTGGGCGCGCAGGTGTCGAGATCCTGCCTTCAGTTCTAGGGGACGTAGACCCAGGGCGGGCACTGCGTCGCAGGCGGTTGTGTGGGTAACGGTGAGGAACGGACAGTGTGTTTTCCACCGAGGCTGCACCGTTGTCCTTCACCCCCCACTTCTGCCCGAGGCTCGCGTCCTTGCTGCGTTCTCACCAGTGCTTGTTATCTTCTCTTTGTTGCTGTTTATCACGGCCATCCTTTGGGAAGTGCTTCTTACATAAAACTTTAAAAGTACACGTCACCAGGCCAAATTATGGTTGGATTAGATGCCCGGTCCCGTAGCAATACCTCTACTCGTCACGCTTAGGAATATTTAAGGACATCTTCTCCCTCCACTCACACGGGCCATACGAGGTCACTGCCCCCGGTGCGTCACTTTGCTTATGGGAACCTTGGGGTTATTCTTATTCTCAAGTGCTGATCTCTCTAGCTTGTTTATTTTTGCCTCAAAATGAATTCCATCTGTATTCCCAGATGGCTTCACTTTGGACAATGTCAACACCAGCAAAGAATAATATTGCAATTGGTTAAAACACACTAATTATTTTAGGAATCCCTAGTGCGTAATTATCCCCAAGGTCAGAGAGAAGCAGTCTTCCTCTTCGTTTCTAGTTCCATCCGAAACGAGATCGCTATTTTGTAACCCTAACTGACGCAAGCAGGAATCACATACATGTGCTAACACTCTTGGATGAAGGAGTCGTGGGAACCCACAGGCCACACCAAGTGTCATCCTGCAGCTCACTATGTGTGACACTGGTGACTTGCCACCTTCCTCACATTGTCAACTTGAGCATCACCTAGTGAGGGTAACGCAGCACACACACCTCATCTGCTGTGATTGGAGGCACCTGGCCTCACCCAGCAGAGATTACTCCCAGAACATTCAACCTCAATATTACAAAGTCTTCAGACCCTACTTCAGTTTACAAGAAATAAAGGAGTTAGAGCCACCTGTTAAGCAACAGAGATGCCCAGAATGTGGAACGGTCTGCAAAAGACTGGCCTGGCCTCACCAAAATGTCCACCAAACACAAGGGAAAAAAAGTGGGACCATTTTGTTCTAGAAGCAAGTAGGGTGAGGAATTACAACAGCCACACGTAATGAGCAAATGTTGACTGGGTCCCAGACTGGAAAAACCCACAGCTGCAAGCCACATGGCCGAGGGTGTTGCGTATGGATTGGATATTAGGTGACATTGTGACATGATTGCTAGTTTTCTTAGAGGTCACGGCTGTGTCAGCAGTAACGTAAGAGACTGTCCTTCCTCCTAGGAGATGCTGCACGAACACGCCCCGAGGGTCAAATGTCATGGGGCCCAAGGTTTGGCTAAAACGTGTGTACGTGTGAGGAGAGAGAGAAGGAAAGCAAATGTGCCAGAATGCAGACCGTTGTTGGCTGTGGGTGGATGATTTAAATTTTTTTTACATTTATTTACTTTTGAGAGACAGAGACAGAGCTCAAGTGGGGGAAGCGCAGAGAGAGAGGGAGACACAGAATCTGAAACAGGCTCCAGGCTCCGAGCTGTCGGCACAGAGCCTGACACGAGGCTTGAACTCACAAACTGTGAGATCATGACCTGAGCCGGAGTCAGACGCTTAACCGACTGAGCCACCCGGGCACCCGTGAAGGTGGACAATTTAAGGGTGATCATTATCCTACTATTCTGACTTCTGTGTATGCCTGAAAATTGTTGTAACCAAACACTGGGGGAAGTTATTTGTAGCTCACGTGTCATGGAACATGCTCTCTAGAACTCCATTCTTGTCTCTTGAAGGCCTTTGTTTTCTGTTTTGCAGTTCGTGACCGAGTCCGATCGAAGATGGAGAGAGACATTCTGGCAGAAGTGAATCACCCTTTCATTGTAAAGCTTCATTAAGGTAAATAGAGTAAAACATAACCTATTTTGAGAGGCCTTAACTTACCCCAAATCCAGGGAAAATGAAACTGCGCACTGGGTCAGAAGGAACCCCCTGCCCACCCTGTCCCGGGCCTGGCCTGCATGCCGTGGGGCTGCCTTCTCCCTGTGGCCCCTGATCTCTTTCATGGTCTTCATGAACAGAAGAGCCGGATGCCCCTTTCTAACTGGAGCGGAAGTGAGGGGGCTCTACTTTGCTACTAAATTATCATCGCTGATACCGTGGGAAAAAACGTCTCTTGGCAGAGAATCTGTGACATATTTTTGTGTTGTTGTAGAATGAAACGCTGTATGACCCAACAGTTTCTTTCACCAGAATGGCATCACCCTCCATATTTTAAGCGAATGCTAGGTTTCAGGCACCTTAAAGATAGGAGCTCGTGGTACCCTCAAAACTTCCTTTCAAGGGCAAGGAGGGAGCGAAGGAGAGGAGAGACAAAAGAGGTGACCCTCTGGGCTCTTCATAAAAGTGAGGGGCACAGATAGACACATTCCCACCACCCTTTTCCCGGGCTCTGCCCCAAACCCTTCCCGGCCCCAGCCCTGCTTCTGGAAGGTCCCGGCATGTTCCGTGTGCGTCTGGGATGCCAACCCTCCCTCCTTCCACAGCCTTTCAGACAGAAGGAAAGCTCTACCTGATACTGGACTTCCTGCGAGGAGGTGACCTCTTCAGCCGACTCTCGAAAGAGGTGCGTGGGGCAAGGAGGGGAGCGCGCTCGCGGGAGGGCTGGGGCGTGCTGTGCGTGTGACTGTGTGTGTGCTGTGAGTGTGAGAGTGTGTGTGTGCTGTGTGTGTGACAGTGTGTGTATGCTGTGAGAGAGAGTGTATATGTGCATACTGTGTGTGACTCTGTGCTGTAAGTGTGAGAGTGTGTGTGGTGTGCGTGTGACAGTGAGACTGAGCATCAGTGCGTATGAGGGTGTATATGAGTGTGTGTATGTGTGCATGCTGTGCATGTGACAGTGTGTGTGAGTGTGTGTTGTGTCTGAGAGAGTATGTATGTGTGTGTGAGAATGTGAGCATCAGGGTGTGTCAGGGTATGTGTGGTGTGTGCACATGAGTGTGTGGGAGTGTCAACATGTATGCTGTGTGTGGTGTGTGTGTGAATGGGGAGCGTGCCTGCTGTGTATGTGAATGTGTGTTTGCTATGGGGTCGTATGTTGTGTGTGCATGTGTGTGGAGGGGTGTGCATGTGGGGGTATGCATGTGTGTGTGCGCGCGTGTGTGGATGGGTGTGTGTGCATGTGTTGGGTGAGGGCAGGAGTGTGTATGTGTGTGTGTGCATGTGTGAATGTGGTGTGAGTGGGGTAGTGTCAGCGTGCCTTCTGTGTGTGAGTGTGTGTGTTTGCTGTGGGGTCATATGGTGTGGGTGCATGTGTGTGAGTGTGTGCATGTGTGTGTGTGAGTGTGCACACGCTTGTGTGAACCAAGCAGCACACGGGGTGTGGGCGGCAGTCTTCCGGCCTCCGACGCCTCGCGAGCAGCCCCGAGGAGCCCCGTGAGGAGCATATGCGCCCAGAGGCTGTAGGGACAGCGAGAAGGACTGTTCCCCGGGGTCTCACGTCCGGTCGTGGGTGACACTGCGCCCATGCTGCCCGCCCACCCTGCAGGGTCCAGGCCTGCACACACGTGCTCGCCATGACCGCCAGCCACTTCCCATCCCTGAGGCACAGTCTTGACCTCACAGTCCCGACATGAGAACTTTCCAGAATGTCACCCCACACAACGCGAGAGCTCCCTGGCCCCTACGTGGTGTGGAGAGCTCCGTGCTTCGCGGTGTGAGAGGACCACATTCTACCCCAGGCGACAGAGCACGGGCTTCTGTCCTAGTGCCCGTCGTCAGTCATCCATCACACAGAACCCAGGAGACAAAGGCACAGGCGTCCCCACGGCCTCTTACCCACATGGCAGCGCTTACCTGGCTGTGACCATGGGCTCAGAGCGCCTTCCCCTCCTCCCCCTCCGCTCCTTTCCCGGGAGACCTTTCCCTCCTGCACGGCGTCCAATGTGGATAGTAGGGCCCGGGGGGGCAGGGCCCCTGCGCCGCTGTCCCCCTCCATCACAGGGGTCCCTCACACAGTGCACAAGCGACACATTGGGCTCCTGGAGGTATCGAGTGAAAGCCCAGGGCTGGAGGAATGAGATCCAGGTTCGGCGAAGAGCTTTCTGGAGCGGGTGTCCGGCCCCTGCTCGTGCGCACGGGCTTCCGAAGACGCAGCGGCAGCGGCATCGCCAGTGCCTCACCCGATGAGTGTGGCCTCCCCTCGCCCTCACCTCTGGGGAGTCAGGCCTTTGGGTTGGGTTTTGCCCAGCGTCCGCCATGACACGCTCTGTCCTTGGGCTTCTGGACCGAAAGGCGAAAATAATCAGCAAACAGCCCCATGTGACCTCACAGGGGACGTGCGTCTATTCAGAGTAAAGGCAAAGCTGCCAAGGGTAAACCTGCACACCAGGTTCACCAGCTTCTCGGGAACAGTAGGGAAGCACCGTCTTTCCGCTCCCTCTGTGACGAGGCCAGTGCGCAGCGCGCCAACGCGTCGGTCACTGTGCTGGCTTCCGTCGAGGACGCGCATCCACGGGGTGTGTCACTTCTCTGCAGTTACCGTTTGTCCTTGGTACTTGGGGGCCGTCCTGGGATGTGCCTAGGAACTGCACATGCAGGGAAACAGGGCTGCACTCTGAGCACGGAACGCACGCAGCCCAGGCTCATTCTAGAGAGAGAAAAATTCCGATCACGGAGCCCAGGGGCTAGCAGACCTTGACTGGAAGTGAGCCCGCGGGTTACTAGCCAGTGTGGAACAGAAACAGGCAGGAAAGGCAGCCGTCGAGCATGGAGATAGGACAGGAGGCTCCAGAGGCCAGAAGGGCAATGAGGATGGATGCCCCAGACGTCACCCCCAGGATGACGGGGTATGTGTCCTGGCCCCGTGGGGAAGCGTCCCTTCTGTGAAATGGGTGCGCTACACCTGTACCCACCTCAAGTATCCGCCACCCTGTTCCCTGAACTGCCCTTATTCTAATTCTGTGCGCCCCAGGGAGCCTTCTGCGCCTTCAGAGAAAGAACTCGGTGGTAATACACACTTTGGTCTCCGCGGTGTTGATTTCTCGTGGTGACTATAAAAAAATGGTTTGTGGTAGCAATCTGGCTTTCGAGTAAGGTGATGTTAAAAGCCGCACACGGATTCTTAACCAGACCAGAGGTACAGAAGTGTCACCAGGACTGCAGCTTTGACGTCAGCTGGGCACCCGGGCTGGTGTGCGCCTGGGTTGAGGTGCCCCCAGCGACTCTGCACCTGCCTGTTGTCTTTGGCAGAACTCACCTCCCTTGGGGCGGACGGCAGGCTTGCGTAAACCAAGGGGGTGAGACCCGAGGTGCACTCTCAGCGCCCGTCATCCAGCCTCTGCCGTGCCAGTTCAGAGCAGAGCCACTCACGTCCAAATATCCACCCAGAAACGCCCCCCGGAGCCGCATGAGCCGTGGGGGCGGGGAGGGGGAAGGCAGGAAACCCAGGCTGAGGAAGCCGTCTTCGTAGGGGAGTTCGCTTCCGCCTTCACTGACCTCGAAACTACAAAGAGAGCTCGTTTCCCCATGGTAAGAGCCCGGAGAGCATTGTGGGGGAGCCGTGCGTGCTCTCCTCCGGGGCGGAGGTGGCTTGAGCGTGCGCCCCGCAGGGCCGCGTGCTGAGGGGCTGCGGCACAGCTCCGCCAGAGGAACGGCCCACGGGAGACGCTGAACGGCCCCGCTCTTTCCGACTTTCCCACCAGGTGATGTTCACGGAGGAGGACGTCAAGTTCTACCTGGCTGAGCTGGCCTTGGCCTTAGACCACCTGCACGGCCTGGGGATCATCTACAGGGACCTGAAGCCCGAGAAGTGAGTGGGGCGCGGCCCATGCACCCTCTTCCTGCTGCCCTCGCCGGGGGCCCCTGCTCTCTGCTTAACTCCCACGTGGGTGACCCCAGGGCGAGGGCTGGGGCCGTCCTCAGGCAGACACCGCCGTGTGGGTGCTCCTGCCGGCCCCAGGAAAGGCCCCGAGCGGGCATGGCTCGCCCTGGGGTTCCAGCCCGTGCTCCGGAGCCTTTACTCTTTTGTCTACACCGAGCTGAAGAAAAGACAGCTCTTCTCTGAGCCCATTTTTATTAGACGAGGTGGTCATTTAGGAAACATCTGGGTAACGTACGTACGTGAGGCAAAGTTCATTTGCTCAACGCTGGCGGGAAGTTCAGGTCACGCGTGGATTTGACTTAAGTGCCTGCAGTGGTTGGCTACGCTGGCCGCACACGCAAATAAACGCTTCAGAACCACAAATAGGCCATGTCTTCCGGGTCCTTCCCTCTGGGAGGACCTGTAAATGATGGCCGTCTCCCTCAGGGAGCGGAAACAGGAGGCGGTTCTCAGAGCCCTGGGCCCTGGACACCCGTTAGGGCCATTACCCTGGCTCTCTCTCTCTCTTTAAAGGTCAAAGGGATCTTTACAGTTAAAAATAGGAATATTTAATTGCAGAGCTGAAGAAAGATTTTTATTGTCAATTGGACTTAGCAGGGGATTAATCTTGAAGGTTGCTCCTTTCTGGGCAGAGATTAAGTGTAACTGAAAGGCAAAGATGAAAATGTTTGCTTCTCTCATGATAAATTGTCATCTTAATTATGTGCCATAACATTTCCCTTCACGTTTACATTAAAATAGTAGGCCTTTTTTTTTAATCCCATGACGTGTTTTTAATTATGATAAGAAAAACAATATAAAATTAGCATCTTAACCGTTTTTTCATTTTTGTCACTGTTTATTTTTGAGAGAGAGAGGAAGAAAGCAAGCAGGGGAGGGTCAGAGAGAGGGAGACACAGAATCTGAAGCAGCTCCAGGCTCTGAGCTGTCAGCACAGACCCCGACGCGGGGCTCGAACCCACGAACCATGAGATCATGACCTGAGCTGAAGTCGGACGCTTAACCGACTGAGCCCCCCAGGCACCCCGACATCTTGACCGTGTACGTGTGCAGCCCTGTGACAGAGAGCACACTCGCATCGCTGTGTGACAGTGCCCATCTTCCAAACTCTCTTCCTGCAAAACTGAGTCTCTGTCCCCGTGAGACACTCCCTCCCCTCACCACCGCCCCTGCACCAGGCCCTGGCACCCCCCTTCTGCTTTCTGCCTGTGAATCTGGCGGCTCTAGGCCCCCCCAGCCCCCGTGTACGTGGAAGGCACGGCGTGCCCTGTGTTGGGCCTGGCTCAGCACCGGGGTACATCCAGGTCCACCCACCTGCTAGCCGGGGGCAGGACGTCCCTGGCCTCCCTGATTGTTTAAGGCACCACAGGTGAGTCCTCAAGGCTTTGCTCTGGTTTCTGTCCGTTCCACTTCCTGGTCTCTTTCAGGCTGGGCTGGTACCCCTGTCCCCCGCCAGGGCTGATGGGACAGGATTTAAAGACAGCAGAAAAAGGGATGGAAAGCTAGGAGCCCCAGGGACCCTGAGGGCTGACAGCCGGAAGAAGGGCTTCCCAAAGTGCTTGCTGGCCTGCGTCCGCCCATATAGACCCCCCTCTGCCGGCCGGTGAGGAGGGCCCTCCGCAGGAGAGCCGGGCAGGGCAGGGCGAGCCCCACTGCCGGGGCATCTAGATGTCAGACACTGCTGTGACAAGAGCTTGGACCCAGTGGCATAGCTCCGATGACAAGGCAAAGCCCCAAGGTCCTCGGTGCCAGGGCCCAAAGTGTCACACGCCCCCCAGAGCTCGGGTGGGTCCCGAGAGCCAGCGTGGCACTCATGGAGGGGTGATGTGGAGAAGTAGGGGGCCTCTGGCCCAGAGGAAAATTCAAGAGGCTCCAGACCTGCACAGGCCCAGGCGATCCTGGTCCCTGTCAATCACGGTCTCCACACAGGTCAGTCTATAGGGTTCCAGAACCTTCCCATGGGCGTAAGAAGGTCTCAGGTCTGCGGGTCCCAGCTCCTGCCTGGTTAACCCCAAACAGCATGGATCTGAGTCCACTCGTGCCCCCAGAAGCTGCTGGCGGGGACACAGTAATGTGCAAGCCCCCATGTGCGCGTAGCCGGCGAGCCTGTGTGCTGACTGCTCCCAGCTCGCGCCCACCTGCCCGCTGGGCCACCCGTAAAGCGTCTGTTTTCTCCCTCTCTTTCAGCATCCTGCTGGACGAAGAGGGACACATTAAGATCACAGGTGTGTAAAGCACAGTGGTCTCCCCGGTGACTTACCCGCGGCCCTGGTCAGGGGTGGGGGGGCAGCTCGGACCCACAGCCCAGCTGGTGCCAGTGCTGGCACGTGAACGTCCGATTTGGCTGAAGTTTTCACAGATGTGGATGAGCTGTGCTGGTGTGTGTGCTCGTAGCATCTAGAAAGTTCTCGAGCTTGCCAGGTTCCCTTCCTTTACTCTCTCTTTCCGACCAGAGAACCTTCCAGCACCTTCCCTGCAGACTCTCAGCCCTGGCTGTTTTGTTCAAGAATCATGATGCTCTCAGGGCAAATCCCCTTAGGGTGTCCCCACTCTGCATCCCGTCCCGCCTCCAGGGACCACGTGGGACACATCTGACCTGCCTCCATCTCGTCCCAGGCCCGTCCTTCTCCTGAGACCTCACACCCTCCCCTGGCCACCAAGTTGGGCCACACTGAAAGCAGCCCCAGCGACACGACACCCGTTGTGTTCGTTTCCTCCTGCCGCTGCCACAGGTTTCGCAGGCTTGGTGCCTCACAGGCACACCCCTCATCTCACAGCCTGGAGGCCGCAGGTCCGGGGAGGCCGCAGGGGCTAAGGTCAAGGTGTCAGCAAGGCCACGGTCCCCCTGGAGGCGCCAGAGAGCCCGTGCGCTGCCTCCTCTGCCTTCTAGGAGCTGCGCGTGTCCCCACTTGCGGCCCCGCCCGTGCTCACAGCCACCAGTGCGGCAGCCCCCGGCCTGTGACTCTGCTCAAGTTCACTCAGGGCCCTGTCAGTGTCAGTGATCCAGAAGGCCCCATCTCCAGAGCCTTGACTCCATCACGCCTGCGGGGCCCCTCTGCCCTGGAAGGTGACCTGCACACAGGCCCTCGGGCGCTGGGTGCGGGCCCCTCTCCTCTGCACCCCTCCTCTCCTCTGCACCCCCTCTCCTCTGCACCCCTTCTCCCCAGGCCCCCTCTCCTCTGCACCCCCTCTCCTCTGCACCCCTCCTCCCTCGGCCCCCTCTCCTCTGCACCCCTCCTCCCAAGCCCTCTCTTCTCTGTTCACCCCTTCTCCCCAGGCCCCCTTTCCTCTGCACCCCTTCTCCCCAGGCCCCCTCTCCTCTGCACCCCTCCTCCCCAAGCCCTTTCTCCTCTGTTCACCCCTTCTCCCCAGGCCCCCTCTCCTCTGCACCCCTCTCCCCCAGGTCCCCTCTCCTCTACACCCCTTCTCTCCAGGCCCCCTCTCCTCTACACCCCTTCTCTCCAGGCCCCCTCTCCTCTGCACCCCTCCTCCCCAAGCCCTTTCTCCTCTGTTCACCCCTTCTCCCCAGGCCTCCCTTCCCTGCTCCGTGGCCCCCACGCAGTCTCACTGTGGCATCTCCCCTCCCCTGTCTCCCAGGGGTGAGTTTACCGGTTCCCCCAGGATCCCAGTACTGGCACGGCACGTCTAGTTACCCGCAATGAATATTACTCAAATATTTTTACATGCTCGTTAATGTTGAAAGTTAGATTTCTAAAATTTCTCATGAACATGTATACCAGATCCTGACTGTCCATTTAACCAGACTCTCAGACCCCCTGCAGGGCTTTGGGCACCTCTGGCGTCATGTCCTCAGGGTTACATGGCAGGTGGAGATTTAAGATTGTGCTAATGCTTCAGAAGTGATCTCTGCCGAATGAGGAACTGCATGTATAACATAGGTGCCACACGTGTGCGCGGTGGCCGGAATAGCATCGAGCTACCACGTCAAATGTATCTGTGATATTACAGAGTTTGGGTTCTCCCTGGTCTAGTACTCACAGATTCTATTATTACTCATGCCCCTGGGCTAATACCGGGTAATGATTTGCCCTCTGGGCCAGGCACAGGTGACCGGCAGCCACCCCACCCCAGGCTGCGAGTAGAGCACACCGCCCAGGGGCGGTGTGACGTCCTTGCCTGGCCTGTGGCCTCGCTCCACCCTCCCCAGGCCCTGGAAGGACCCGAGTGATAGTGGCCTTCTTCCCAAACACCCTGAAACCGAGGGCCACCGTCCTCTGAGATCCAGCGCGTTCCCATGCTCTTCACCCAGCAAGCGCACGAACACGCCCGCCGTGCAAGAAGGGAGACCCCGGTGAGGGTCTCCTGCAGGGGGGAGGGTGCGGGCTCACTGCCCAGCGCACGGCAAACGCCATCTTCCCTGGTGCCCCACCACGGGACCCCCTGCCCCAGCAGCCTGCTGCCCGGAACCCCTTCCAGCCCTCTCCTCCCGGGCGACCACTTGCGTCCCGGCCCAGCGGCCCAGCGGCGCCGGCTGCTCCGTCCCGGCTTCCAGCCCCGCCGGTCCCCACCCTGCTGGTCGGTCCCTAAGAAGTGCGACGCCTTGATCCTGGCACCAGGCTCTCAGGGTTTGTAGGTTCCTCGAAGACTCTGGGACCCGCCACGCGGAGCACGAGGCCGCCGGCGCCCGAGGCGGGTTCTGTGCCGGACAGAGCGGGCGGGAGGGGCGCCTGCGGGCACACTCTTCCCGGTGACGCGGGAGCCGCGGGTCCTGAGTCCGCACGACCGACGCGGCGCCCTGTGCTGTCCCCTGTAGACTTCGGGCTGAGCAAGGAGGCCATCGACCACGACAAGAGGGCTTACTCCTTCTGCGGGACCATAGAGTACATGGCGCCCGAGGTGGTGAACCGGCGGGGACACACGCAGAGCGCCGACTGGTGGTCCTTCGGCGTGCTCATGGTAAGGGCCCCGGCCGCGTCCCTGCCCTCGTGACATTCCCGCCCCAGCTTGGGCCAGAGCCCCAGGAAGGGCCGGGGAAAACAGTTGGGGTGTCCACACGCCGTGTGGCTGGGGGACCCAGGGACGCGCAGGAGGCCGCTGGGTCCTGCCCCTGCGCCTTCCTGCAGCCCCCCCTCGGCCCGTCCCGGCTCCCCCGACGCAGAGCCCGCCCAGCGCAGGCCGCCCTCCCCCCAGACGCTCCTTCCTGTCCGTTCCTCTCTCCCGACGCTCCGCCGCCCTCCCAGCCAGCCCCACGCTCCCGCCTCAGCGCCCACCGGGCTTCTCGGTGGGCGCGGGGCACGGCCCGGGGGACCCAAGGCCGCTTCTGTGCGTCCAGGCACCACAGCACACGCCTCACTTCCTGCGTCCGACGCCCGGGGTCCGCGGTGTCCTGTCTTGTCTCTTCTTGGCACTTTGACGAATTGCTGTCATAAATCTGTCACGCTGCGAACACATACTTGGAGCGCCCGACACAGGGCACCGGGGAACCGCCATGACCTTCCCCAGCGATCCCGGCGTGGAGAGCAGAGCCCACGCCCGGTGAGCTCTGTGACCCCCACCTCCCTCACCCCCCCCGGGGACCCCGGCCCTTCCTCGTCCCAGAGCTCTAGGACAGCTCTGGAGTTGGGAGAACATCACCCAGACGTGGTTCTTTGCTGTGCCCGAGGCCGCCCGCTTCCCGCTGCCGTTGGGGTCATGGAGGCACCAGGAGCTGTGAGCACCTGGCTCGGGCGTTTCCTACTGAATTGGGGGCATCATCCGTCATTTTAGTTGAAAAGACTCCACATTCAGGGTCTCGTAGCAGCCAGGGAAGTGAATGGCCCTCGTCCCCGAACTGTCCCTCTGCTAGGCGGCAGGAGGCAGGAGGGGCCTTCGCGGCAGAGTTTACAAGGCACCTTCTCCCCGTTTCATCTGAACCGAAAAATCGTGAAGTTATGTGGGAAAGATCTCAGGCTTTCTGTTTGTAGAAGTGGAAACGAAGGCTCAAAAAGCTGAAGGGATTGTTTTAAGGTCATACAGTTGTTCTCAGAAGCGCAAGCCCCGCCCACCAACCCCTGCAGCCCCCGGAGCTGGCCAGCTTGCAGGCGGACGTGCGGGTTCCTGTTTCCCCTCGGGCAGCACCAGCAGTGACTCCCAGAGTCCCATCTGCAAAGGGAGATGGGCCCTGGGTGGCATTCGGCGTCGTGTCTGAGCTCCGCCTCGGGAGGAGGTCAGTTTGGGGGCTGCTGTGTTTGTCCGGTGCCCTCCCCCGGCTCCGTTAAGAGGACGTGGGGCCTGCAGGGAGCACCTGCAGGAACAGGGTCCACCGTGCAGGGGTCGCCTCCCCGAGGACGTCTACACCCGCATCGTCTGATGACCACGGGTGCCTGGAGCTCAGCTTCCGCCGCCTGCGCTGACGGCGGAGGCCCTTGTCCTTGCACAAGACTGCATGTCTGGAGTTAGGTCCTTGAAGCTGGAAAAGAACTTGGCCGCAGTGGTCGTCTCCACGGCAACAGCAAACCACTCACAACCACTCACACCTCCACGGCGCGGAGCTCTGGTGTTAGCAGGACGTTGGGATTGTGCTTAGCGGGTAAACATCTGAACGTTCCGGGTTCGCACGGGAAAGGACCTTCGATTCCTCTCCCGTTGCTTAACCACTGACACTGAGCGTGGGTGGATGTTCACACGCAGGTGTCTGTCAGCCGTTGGGCACATCCATCCGGCTCGGGCCCAGGAGCCGCTCTGGGAAAGGACATGAACGCCCGCACCCTCGTCCGCAGAGGCCCCAGGCGTGTAGACCCTCAAGTGCTCAGAGCAGGGGCACAGTGCGCGCTGGGAGGTGGGGACTGGTCTGCCCTCCGTGCCCTCCGACACACGCATACGCCAACCTGAACATACCTGCTGACCGCAGGCCCGGCCTGCCCGGGAACGGCCACCATCCCAAACAGCCCACTTCACTGTGGGATCTGTCCTTGTCCGTGTCCACATGAGGATGGAACTTGCCCTTGATTTGTTTAAGCTCGCTGATCAGCCAGATGAACTTGAACTGTAGGCCCCTGCTATGAAGCATGTCCCTCACCGAGAACCTTCTCATTCCACTGCTCCCGGCACCGCCAGGGTGGCTTCCGTGGTGTCGTGTCTGTGCCCCAGGGCTGGCCACTCTCTTGAGGCTCATCGGATGTCCCTTTAGACAAGGCTTTCCACCCCAGCGCTGTTGAGGTTCGGGACCGGGCAATTCTCTGGGTGGAGGCTGTCCTGTGCATGGAGGATGTGAAGCAGCCTTCCTCGATGCTCCATAGACATCACAGGCACCTACGCCCTCACCCTCCCAGCCTCACCACCAAACTGTCCCCAGACATTGGGACATTCCTCCCCCCCCCCCCCCCCGCCCAGCTGAGAAGTACTGCTGTAGCTACATCAAAAGATTTATCCTCCTGGAAATGTCATAGTGTGCACGGTGAAGCTGTACTGAGTTTCTTGGGGCTCCCTCTGTACATTTCCACAGCCTGCCTTGGTGCTGACCTGGGAATGGACCCCTTGGGGACCACGTGTGCAGTGTGGGACCCCACAGCCAATGATGGCTTATATCAGTTTGCCCTGCAAGCCTTGGTCAGTCTCCATATTCTTGAGCACCAGGGCAAGACTCTGACTGTATGTAATGTCCCAGGAAAGCGCATCAGTAATGCCCGGATTAATGACACCCTCCAACAGGGAGAAAGCGCCGAGTGGCTTTGTTGAGAGAAGTAATACTGAGCCGATCTCCCTTCTCCACATGTGTCAGGACAGGAACGTGTAAGGGGGCTGGAAGTGAAGCCAAAATAGAGACTTGTGTGGGCTTCATCACCGTCACCACACCATCATCTTCATCACCAGGAGGCATTTGGTGAACACCCGTGTATGCCGCTGTGCTAGGTGCTCAGGAAAAGTTCGGGACCTGCCGCCGTGTTGGGGGGGAGGTGGGGGCGGGGTAACTCGGAAGAACAGGCCGGAGGGAGAGAAACACGAGGGCTGTGGATCCCGGATGCATCGTCAAAGCGAAGAAGGAATCACCAGGCAAATGTTGCAAGTTGCTGGTTGACCCGTAATAAATGGTTACATGAGCCACACATGTTCCCGATGGGCCCCGATTGTGCAGCCGTGAGGCCTCACAGGCTTTTCCTTGCCGTGGAATCCCATTCCCAGCCAGTGAAGAAGAAAGGAGAGCGAAGGAAGGATACAAACAAATAGGAAGGGGATTTTCTTTGCTAGTAGGATTCTATTTTCAGAGATACTTTGATTTCTACGATCAACTTACAAAAACCCTCATATCATTTTATCAGATGAACAGCTCATCTGCCAGAGCGTCCTACCTTTCCATTCAGTTCTGTTTGTCTATTTTTAGATCCTCTTCTGGACTCTCTGAGTCTCCGTTTTTACGGCTTATAGATCGATTGATCGCCTGCAGTCCGCGCTGTGTGTCTTCTCTGAATGAGGGCCCATGGGAGGGACAGCAGGTGTTAGCGCAGGGGAGGCCGCACGCATCTCAACAGACAGGAACGCTTACATTTCTTTTCAATTTTTACCTTCAAAAAGCAAACCAAAAATACTAATAAAGCCTTAAGTCCACTCATTTCTTTAAGTTGGTTGGTTTCACTCCTGGTAGGTGTCCTGAGTTTAACTCCACGTCATAGGAAAGCTTTTAGGTGCATTCCAGTATTACTTACAATAGCAGGAAATTGGAAACAGTCTAAGGGTTCAACAACAAATAAACATATTTTGGCATATCCACATATAAAGTGATGCTATGAAGATTTAACAACAAGCATTGGAAGTTTTTCTATTGTTCTGTGAAAGATTAACATATAAAACCTTATCTGTGTTTTAAACACACAACTTCAACAAAGTTCTAGAAGGAAATAACAAATACTAATTGTGTCTCTCATTGGATAATGGGATTATGGGTGATCATTTTGATCTTTCTACTCTGATGTATTTCTTAAGATTTTCATAGCAGCGCCTGGGTGGCTTAGTTGGTTAAGCGTCCAACTTTCGCTTGGGTCATGATCTCGCGGTTTGTGGGTTCGAGCCCCGCGTCAGGCTCTGTGCTGACTGCCAGCTCAGAGCCTGGAGCCTATTTCAGAGTCTGTATCTCCCTCTCTCTCTGACCCTCCCCTGCTCGCGCTGTCTCTCTTTCTCTCCTAGAAATAAATATATATATATATATTTTTTTTTTTTTTTAAAAAAGATTTTCATAATGTGGAGGAGAAGAAAACTGCAGGATAAGTTTTAAGGGAACAAAGACATAGTCAGAATAAAAACTAAGGTATAATAAGTTATACCAACACTTGCACTGAGGCTATTTTCTTATACAGTTGACCCTCAAAGAACACAGGGATAAGGGGTGCCGACCCCTGAAGGTGGTCAAAAATCCACGTATAACTTTGACTCTCCTCAAAATTAGCTACTAATAACTTAGTGTTGACCAGAAGGCTCACAATAACATAAGCAGTAGAGCAACACATATTTCATACATTATATGTATTACATACTGTATCCTTACAATAAAGCAAGCTAAAGAAATGTTATGAAGAAAATCATAAGCAAAACTACACTTGTGGTGTATAGTACATACTTATCAAAACATGACATGCATGGAAGGTCACACCCATATTGTTCACAGCCTTATCATTCACACCCGTGTTGTTCAAGGCTCAACTGTAATTGAAAAGGACATGAAGAGGGGCGCCTGGGTGGCTCAGTCGGTTGAGCGTCTGACTGCGGCTCAGGTCATGATCTCACGGTTCGTGGGCTCAAGCCCCGTGTCGGGCTCTGTGCTGACATCTGGCTCAGAGCCTGGAGCTGCTTCAGATTCTGTGACTCCCTCTCTCTCTGACCCTCCCCTGCTCACGCTGTCTCTCTCTCACACACACAAATAAATAAAAACATTTTAAAAAATTAAAAAAGAAAAGGACATGAAGACGCAGACTGGGGTTGATACCGTAGCCTCCTTCAGTTAGAGTCAGAGGCCTATTCTCAAGGACAGGCTCTGTTGGCGCTGCTGGTCTAGTTCTTTCTCGAAGGGGGCAGTGCACACGTCGTCCAGGTAATACCCTGCGGTGCCGGGCCACCCCTTCCAGAGCCCGTGCACTCCGGGCTCTTCCGTGCTCGGGAAAGGCGGGCCCTCGGTGCTGTCTCTGCCCCAGAGGCCGCCCTGGCAAAGGTCCACTAGTTATTTTCAGAGTGTGGTGGCCCGTATTGGAGGTGCCCTACTGTTCTTACTGGACATTGTTAATGGACGGAAGTCACTCCGCCCCGGGCCCCTCCGCTGCACCCACCAGAGAAGGGCAGGGACGGGGTCCTCCACCAACCCCCAGAAGGCGGACGGCCCAGCCGCCGTCCCTCCGCCCTCCCCTTCCCCGATGCGTCTGTTCTCTCCACAGCGCTTGGCCGGCCTCTCCTACGGCAGCCGGGGTGCGTCCTGGGTGGGTGGCCTGGGCACCTCCTCGCCCAACTTTGAGCTCCCTGAGGCCGCTCTGTTGGCCGGTGTATGCCAAGCGTGTCTGCCAGCGCCTTCGCTGGATTGATCGGGATTTTGAACGGACACGTGCACCTTGGCTGCACTCCACCCCCACCCCTACCCTGCCCCCGGCTCTCAGCTAGTCAAACCAGTCGGTCTGAACACTCCCCTCCCTGTTCTGTGTTGCTCTGCAGTTTGAGATGCTCACAGGATCTCTGCCGTTCCAGGGGAAGGACAGGAAGGAGACCATGGCCCTCATCCTCAAGTGAGTAGGAAACACCCACCGTGGGGGTCCATCCCATACGCGTTAGCACCTTCCAAAGCAAGCGCTTCGGCCTTGGAAGCCCGGTTGTTAAGGAGGCATCGGCAATAACCGTAATATGCATTCTTGGCATTTTAGCCGCAGGGGAGACACTGAAGGGGATCCCCCAGTGATCCTGGTGACACGCACATAACGTGTTCCATCGGTGAAGTCGCATATGGTGTCCAGTGGTGGGACTGTGGCGATTAGGGACCTTCAAAAACAGAGTACAGATTTGAAAGGGCAGAGGACTTAGGGGCTCCAGAGAGACCACAGGGTGGGGGGTGCCTTTCTTTCTCTGCCTCTTGACCCAATTCATTCAAGTACCTGAGCTCTCCCGCCTGACGTTGGCAAGGAGTCACGTTGCCCACGTGACTGGACACAAACATAATTTTCGGCTCAGTTCCCACGAAGAATCAATTACCGTGCAAGTGGATGTTGCTCTTAGCATCCCAGGAAGAAGTCTAAAGCCGGTGCCGTGTGAGAGCAGGCTCCACGGAAGCACGGCATCAGGAGGGAGGGCTCCGGGGAAGACAGGAGCGCGGCGGGGGGAGGAGCGGCTGCAAACAGCTAGACCCTCGCTCCAGGTTACTGTCCCTCTGCCGTGCGAGGGTGTCGACACGCCGTAAGGCTGCCGGCCCTCATGACCCGCTCCCTCAAACCCTGCGGATGGACACCTCACTTTTCTAAAAACGAGAGGCACCGGAAAAGCTTACGTTTTTGTAGGCTACACCGTAGTGTAAGCGGAAGGAGAGGAATCAGTGGAGGAAAGCCCACAGAGAGGATTGGCTCAGTGTCTTCCTGGGTTGTGGGCGACACATCTGTGACTGCGGTCTGTTATTTTTGTGTTACTTACCTCTGTGACTTTTAATTTTAAGGGAGAACACAATCTGTACTTAAAAAAAATTTTTTTTTTACTGTTTATTTTTGAGAGGAAGAGAGAGAGAGACAGAATTCGAGCCGGGAGGGGCAGAGAGATAGAGAGACCCAGAATCCCAAGCAGCTCCAGGCTCTGAGCTGCCAGCGCGGGGCTCGAACCCACCAACTGGGAGATCACGACCTGAGCTGAAGTCAGATGTTTAACCAACTGGGCCACCCCGGCGTCCCGATCTGTACTTCATAAAACTAGAATAGTTCCCTCTAGCGAATCCTGTGCGTGCGCCCGTCACTTAGGAGTGGCTGAGCATTTCTGAAGGGGCGACACCAAGCTGTGGCCCCCTGTCTCCCAAAGCATGGTCAGAGGACCCCGGGGCCTGCGACCCTCCTGGGGCTTGCAAGCTCTTCCTTTCCCAATCTTTTTTTTTTTTTTTTTTTTTTTTTGCAGTTTTTTGGGTAAATTAGATTACTGGGTTTTACTTTATTTTCATTTTACTTGTTTTCATCACGATAGGTTGGCAAGTGTACATATTCAACACCTTTCCTATTTCACCCGTTCCCCCCCCCATCACCATTCTCTAGAATGGAGAGTCTCCTTCCTGACTTGTCTCTCTCTCTCTCTTTTCTTTGCTCACCTGTTTTGTTTCTTAAATTCCACACATGAGTGAAATCATATGGTATTTGTCCTTCTCTGACTTATTTCACTCAGCATAACACTCTCTAGGTCCATCCGTGTCCTTGCAAATGGCAAGATCTCATTTTTTTTTGGCTGAATAATATTCTATTGTGTGTATACCATTTCTTCTTTACCCATTCATCTCAGATGGATGCTTGGGCTGCTCCCATAAAGTAGTTATTGTAAATAACGCTGCTGTAAACATGGAGGGAACGTATCCTTTTGAATTAGTGTTTTTGTGTCCTTCGGATAAATTCCTAGCAGCGCTATCGCTAGGTCCTAGAGGAGGTCTGTTAATTTTTTGAGGAGCCTCCACACTGTTTTCCAGAGCGGCTGCACCAGTTGACATTCCCACCAGCAGTGGCTCCCCTTTCTCCACATCCTCGCCCACTCTGGCAGGTGTGAGGCGCTATCTCACCGTGGTTTTGAGTTGCATGTCCCTGATGATGAGCGATGTTGAGCACCCTTTCATGTATCTGTCGGCCATCTGGACGTCTTCTGTGGAAGAATTCTATTCATGTCTTCTGCCCGTTTTTTAATTGGATTATTTGGGTTTGGGATGATGGGTTGTGTCCGTTCTTTATATTTTTTAGATACTAACCCTTTATCAGATATGTCATTTGCAAATATCTTCTCCCGTTCCATTGGTTATCTTTTAGTTTTGTTAACTGCTTCCTTTGCTGTGCAGAAACTTTATCTTGATGTAGTGCCAATAGTTTTTTTTTGCTTTATTTCCCTTGTCTCAGGAGACATATCTAGGAAAAGGTGGGTAAGGCCCATGTCAGAGAGGTTATTGCCTGTACTCTCTTTAAGGATTTTTATGGTTTCTGGTCTCACATTTGGGTCTTTCATCCATTTTGAGTTTATTTTTATGTACGATGTGCGAACGTGGTCCAAGTTCATTCTTCCGCACGTTGCTGTCCAGTTTTCCCAGCACCCTTTGTTGAAGAGACTGTCTGTTTCCCATTGAATATTCTTTTCTGCTTTATTGCAGATTAGTTGATCATATATTTGTGGGTTTATTTCTGGGTTCTCTACTCTGTTCCAGTGATCGACGTGTGGGTTTGTGCCAGTACCATACGGTCTTGATTAGTACAACTTTGTAATGTAACTTGAAGTCTGGAATTGTGATGCCTCCCGCTTTGGTTTCCTTTTTCAGGATCGCTCCGGCTATTGAGGTCTTTTGTGGTTCCATCCAAATTTTAGGATTGTTTGCTCTAGCTCTGTGAAGTCCCAGATTTTCTTCACAGTAATGCAACAGACTGAACCCAGAGGCAGATAGCCTGTCTCTCATCTAACCCAGAAGGGATTCCTAAACTGTAAACAAGATCACTCTCCTGGCCAAGCCCTTTGTTGTTATTTTGGAAAACATAGTTCATTTTTATTTAAAACGCTACTAATGTTAATGATTGTTAACAAACAGTTCTGATTGTTTCTTTTTAATGGTTGTATTAGTGTTTCAGTGAATTATTAAATCGCTATGGCACAAATTTCTCTCCGAGAACCCACATCAACAAAAGCTCTTTGATGCCCTCCGGGACTTGGAGAGCGCAGAAGGGCCCTACGGCCAGAAAGCCTGGGTGCAGCCGCTCCGAGTCACATGGATTTGATCGGTCTGTTAATGGTGACTGAGCAGGACTGAAAAGTGCTGGAGAAAACCTGGTCATCCTTTTCATTCTAAACTACACCTCTGTTTTCAGAGCCAAGCTGGGCATGCCGCAGTTCCTCAGCGTGGAAGCCCAGAGCCTGCTGAGAGCCCTCTTCAAACGGAACCCGTGCAACCGTCTGGGTAAGAGCCCCCAGGCACCCCGGGACCGCAGGGGCCTCCCGCCTGCCCCCCTCAGCCCATCTTTACCAGGCTCACTGAGAGCAAAGGTCCCGAATCAGGTGTGAAAATACTCTCACGTGTCCAAGCCATGAGGATTCCCAAAACACAGTCTCCCGCCAGGTCCTGCAAGCTATTTCCTAAAAGTCACCGTTTTTACACAGAATAGTGGAACTTTGTTCTATTCATCTCACCTTTAGAACCCTGTAAATCAAGGACAGAGCAGTTGAAAGCTGCCTCTTCTTTAATCCCACTGAAATTAATACGTCTTTTTAAATAGTTTATTGTCAAGTTGGTTTCCATAGAACACCCAGTGCTCATCCCCACACGTGCCCTCCTCCATGCCCATCCCCCCTCCCCCCCACATCCATCAGTCCTCAGTTTGTTCTCGGCATTCAAGAGTCTCTCATGGTTTGCCTCCCTCCCTCTCCCCCACCATTTTCCCCCTTCTTCTCCCCGTTAAGTCCTCCGATAAGTTCCTCCTAATCCACCTATATGTGCAAACATATGATATCTGTCCGTCTCTGCCTGACTTATTTCGCTCAGCATAACACCCTCAAGGTCCATCCATGTTGCTACACAGGCCAGATTTCATTGTTTCTCATTGCCACGTAGTGTTCCATCGTATAGATAAACCACATCTCCTTGATCCATTCATCAGCGGATGGACACTTAGGCTCTTTCCATGTTTTAGCTATTGTCGAGAGTGCTGCTGTGAACACTGGGGTCCATGTGCCCCTAGGCATCAGCACTCCTGTGTCCCTTGGGTAAATTCCCAGCAGTGCTAGTGCTGGGTCATAGGGGAGTTTAAATTAATACATCTTAATGGATATGAAAGTCCAGACTTGCATGAATGTTAACCAAGTAATCATCCATTTTCAAAATAATTCTCGACCGAAGGTTCCCCCGGCTCCTCTCCGTGGTGCTTCTCCTACAAGTGGGTGGTGGTCTAGAAGCCCCGGCTGACACAGCTGCTGATCCTCCCTGTCCCCTTGCCGCTTTTCATCCCTCGTTGTCACGGAGCCTGTGTGCGCGCTGAGCAGTGACGTGTGGTCAGCGGGCGGCCGTGACGTGGGCCCGTCGGGGGGAGGAGGCGCCCCAGCACCGTGCCGGCTGCAGGGGGAGCTAGTGAGCAACAACACCGTCAGGGCTGTCCCGCTGCTCACAGGGTCAAACTCCGCTGTCCGCAGAGCAGATGGTGCCGCCCACCTTTCCAACTGTATCTATCGCTCTCCCAAGAAATGGTACTTCTTGAAGTCTATCCAGCATAGAAGTCGCATATGTAAAAAATGCTTGTTGATCTTAGTAAAGACCTGGATAAGGCAAATGTCCAACAATAAGGACGCCATGAAGTAAATTATGGCGCATTCACTCCAGGCCTGCAGGACGGCCATTTAAACGAGGAGCGCTGTCCCCAGGGGGTCTCCACGATGGCACCGGTGACCTCTCAACTGGGTCATTCTTTCTTGCGGAGGACCAGCTTGCGCTGCAGCACGGTCTCTCCCAAGATGCCCCCTCTGCCTGCTGAGCAAGTGCAACGGTCTCTAGACTTGCCCCTGGGGACAGCCCCCCAACGAGACCCGGTTCTGTAAACCCGGCTGGAGAGGTACCCGGGGCCTATCTAGATGCGGAGATGAGTTGCCGTGGAGTGTCAAGGCATCCCATGGTGGCCCCAGAGCCAGTCTCTGCCAGGGGGTGTGGGGAGACCCACGTGGACCCCAGCCCCTGACACCCGTGTTGGTGTCTGTTAAATGGCTGTGGTCGAATGACATTGATTGAGACCAGCCAGCGTGATAATGATGCACGTGTTAGGGGCCACACCAGACAGAGGCCCAGAGGCCGGGCCCTGAAGGCAGGGACTACTCGCTCGGCCGCACACAGTTCCCTGGAGGCAAGGCCGAGGCCTCCCGCGAGCAGCTCTGGTCCCTGGGCGGCCAAGCCACCAGGTGCCGGGGTGGAGGGCAGGGAGCCTTGAAGTCCAGGATGGTCACATCCAGTTGAACGGAGGAAGTGGATGAAACCAGGCACTTGTAGCATGTGTGCGTGTGTGAGCAGGGGAGGGGTGGAGAGGGAGAGAGAACCCCAAGCAGGCTCTGCGTCGACAGCACAAAGCTCCATGCGGGGCTGGAACTCATGAACTGTGAGATCAGGGCCTGAGGTGAAATCAAGAGTCAGATGCTTAACCGCTGAGCCGCCCAGGTGCCCCAGGTGTGTGCTCGTTTCGGCTGTGACGGTGTGCACGTGGCAGCTGGAAGACTCGGAGTCAGTAAGTGTGTTACACACTTACTGCACGGTGTGGTACGCTGGGTGACAGATCCCTGTGCAGAGTAGGTCAGCGGCCCAGGCCGCTGCTCTTGTCGGGGTGGGGCCAGGGCACGGCCCTGAGGATTCCGGGTTGCACCTGAGAGGTCGCGGCCGTGCTGGGGACAGAACAGGAGGCAGCGTGCACACCAGGCCTAAGGAACGTCACGCAAAAGGTTGGACCAGACGCCGGCACAGGGGAGGGTGTGTGTGACCTCCCTGTGCCCGGGGGAGGGTCTGGAAAGGCAGTGCAGGTGCCCGGGTGGGGTCCCTCCAAAGGAGTCAGCCAGGGGACAGTCTCACTGTGACCTAGAGAAAGCCCCCCGGGGCCGCGTAGCTCGGTCCAGGGAGGTGTGCGGGGCGATGGAGGCGGGTGGGGTGTGTTCCCTGAAGGAGGCCTCGAGGGGTCTGTCCCTGTGTGGGACCTCAGCGTCCTGCCTCCGCCCCGGGGTGCCTCCCAGGTGTGACACTGGCCACTCCGAACGGTTTGCAAGGCCGGGAGGTCAGAGACGAGAACGGGGAAGGGGCCAGTGGCGGCCCTCACGGTGCAGCCGCGAGGGGGGAGCGCCGGTGAGGTCGGGTTCCACGCGCTGCAGAAACTCCAGAAACTCGGGCTGTGCGCGTCCGGGCTCAGCGTGGCCACCCGACCGTGGGGGGGCCGTTCTGTGGACACGGCTGTCGGGGCGGGCCCTCCACGGGGGCCATGTGGAGTAAATGTGCCTCCAGACCTTCCCGCAGGACGGGAGGTTACGGTGAACCCACTTTCGGGCTGTGCAAAGTGGCGGCCGTCCAGCTCTTCCCTCGTGAGCATCTGTGCCTTCCGGAAGGAACTCCTGGGAAAGTCTCAGCCTCCCAGGGGGACACGCAGCCGCGGTTAGAAGGGAAGGAGATGGGCTAATGAGAGTAAAACAGCACAGCCGTGTAGACCGTGTCAGGGCCAGTCCCGAGCGCCCCTGTGGGAGCCCCACCCACTGGTGCAGCCGGGGTTCTGTTTTCGTGTTTGTTCTGCTCTCCAGCGCCGATCCCCGCGGTGCTTTCCCCATCTTGGTCTCCAGTGTCCCACCCCGGCTTGCGTCGGCAACAGGCCGACCTTTGACCAGACACAGCAGTCAGCTCCAACCAGCCCCGGGGCCCCAGCAGGCACCAGACCCCGGCCCTCAGCTGGCACTGCCCTCTGAGACTCAGCAAACAAGCACTTGAAACACTGAATGAATGAATTTTCCAAGGGCCAGAAAATACTTGGAAACGATGGAAAAGAATGCGAGGTGGCTTCCGTGTGACTCGAAAACAGCCATGGAATAAAACACCTCAAAGGCACCTCACAGGGGCCGGGGATTCATCATGTCCCCAGCTGTCTGTGGAAATAAGGAAACAATAGACATATTTGGGGCAGATACCAAAATCCTTGGAGAATAATTTACTGCGAATGTACAGGTCCAGCGACGACTAACCCCACGATGAAAGCAATCGCCTTGTTAAAAATGTGGAGTGGAGAGCTGAACGTAAGCGGCGCCGCGGAAGGAGCAGACCTCACCCCGCCCCGACGACACGCTCACAGCTGTGCACTGAGGTCAGGAAGTCCCAGCTGGGCGCCAGATCCCGCCGTCCCCCCACTTGTAGAAATCAGACACGTGGGGCAGGCACACATGTTCAGGGATATTCCGGTTTTTGAGAGGGGCTACGGGGGGCTAAATGTTCGTACTGCCGGGAACAAGTGGAACCCTGAATCTCCTGCTCCACCGAACTTTCTAATTCGTGTTTACTTGACGTTGGAGAACATAGTAAAAACTCACCAAGCCTGATAAGAAGTACAGCTCTTCTGTTCCAAACACTTCAGGCCTTGTTGACTCTTTGTGATCCGGACTAATCGAAGCCCTCCTCCGGGGACAGCGTGAGCCTTCCGGTGCTCTGGGTCACCACCCCAAGTCAGCTGTGATTCAAGGATCTACACAGACACTTCCTGACTTTCCTGCCAGAACTGCCCGATGGTCAGATGTGTTCAGTCGACGTAGAAAGGGGTCATCAAGGGCAAAACAGCCTAGTTAACATGTTTTAGGAGAAGGTAAATAAAAGTAGGATCCAAAATAATACCCATATGTGCCCTAGGAAGGTTGACGTAGCCCTTAAAGAACTGTGCGCAGAGATTTTCCTTTCACGGTTTCTCTCCTTTCGGGACACCTATAATTTTTGAGTGATAACCAAAGTGTTAATGAATTCACTGTCGACTGTTCGCTGAGGCCTCAAAGCCCAAACATGGTACAAGATCTCACTGCAGCGGAAGAAAAAGGTGCAGATAAAAACGTGCTAATTAAGTATCCAAGGAAACCCAGCCCGTGCCAGCGCAGAATTTGGAGTTACGCCAATGCCTTTATTTCCTTTGTGTCCCGCTTGGTTTCGGTTCCCGCCGTGAACATGGATGAGATGTAATGGGCGCGAAAGGCAAAGTGCGTTCTTCAGAGAAATTCAGCCGATGAGTCACAGTGCAGGTGCGAACAACATTGGGGTCCAAGGTGCGGCTCAAAGCTCGCCCCTCTGACGGACCCGCCGAGCTCTGCGGCAGGTCAGCGTTCGCCGAGGAGGGGCTGGGAAGCAGTACAGATTGGGGTGCGGTTTCCTCCACTTGAATCCTCATGACCAGGAGGGCGTGTCAGTCAGGGGCCGCCAGCCGCAGGGTCCAGGGCTCAGGGCTCTGGTCAGGGGTTCACGGAACAAGGGAGACAGACCCAGGAATCGGGCGAGGTCATCCTGATGAACACCCGTTTCTACTCACATCAGCACCACTAACACTGGACGTGTGGGTTTTCCACGCCGACACATTCTTCACTTCTCAGTAGACGCCAGCCTAGAGCCCTACATTCACTTCAGTCTGGCTCTCACCACCCAGAGCCGTTGGCGCAGACGCCGGGGCGCAGTCCCACCGCTGCCCCCGATTCCGATGCCCCTCCCACAGCCCAGGGCCTCACCTGCGCTTCCGACCCACCAGCTATAAAGCAGGGGCTCCCGCGACCCCTTCTTTCAGTTCAGTCATGTGCTAAACCAGCTCACAAAACTCAGGAAACCACTTTACTTACTATCACCGGTTTATTACAAAGGATCTTTTAAAGGACACAGGAGAAGAGGTGCATAGGGTGAGGTCTGAAGGACCTTGGAATTTGGGGCGCGCCACCCTCCCGGCACACTGGCGCATTCTTGCACATCAACCCACAAACTCTCCAAACCCTGTTGCTTAGGGCTTCTGGGAAGCTTTCACTGTTTGGGCGCGCTCCATTAAGTCACTGCAGTGGGTGATGCACCCTCCCCCAGCCTCTCCCCTGCCCTCCCTGGAGGTCAGAGGGAGGCGGACAGTCCCCACCCCGCAGTCACGCGGTTGGTTCTGTGGAGACCGGCCAGTCCTAAGGGCTTTTCCAAAAGCCGCCGCATTGACAGAAACTCAGGGGGGTTCGAGGAGGCGTGTTACGAGCAACAAAGGAGCCACTCAGGCCAGGGACAGCAACCAAATACTGTGACAGAAGAGGATTCCGGTGTTCTCACGACTTAAGAAATTGCAAGGATTTGGGAGCTCTGACCAGGAGCCAGAACAAAGGCCATATCATATCAGCGTAGCACAGGTCCTGGGAAGAAAACTCCAAACTGGACTGAGGACCAGAGAGGAGCCCCAGCCTGGGGGCGGGGGGAGGGGGGGACACGCATCTGCCTTCAAATCTCGGTTCTCCTCACAGACTCTCGTGTGACCTTGAGCACCTTACCCCGTGTCCTTCAGCCTAAAGAGCAGGGATCCTGACCGTAGGCCCTCGGTATGCAGAGCCGGGCGGAGAGCAGAGGCGAGACCCCGGTCTGACGGGCTCCCGCACTGCCCTGTGGCGCGAGTCCAGTGATGCAGCGCGATCAACAGTGGGTTCTCGCCTGGGTGCTGGCCTGGTCTGGCCTCCTCGGCAGATGCGGGAGGTGGACCTGGGCCTCCGTCCCCCTGAGGCTTCTGTGTCCGGGGCCAGCTCTTGCCCCTCCTTTTCTGCCCACATCAGCGCAGGGACCGGGATGTGAGAGCAACCAGCCACATCCAGGAGGGTGTCATCTACACGGACCCTGGGACCCGTGTGGGGGCTGCCACCCGACCTCTCAGGCCCCGACCGTGAGCACCACAGTGACCACAGCAGCTCAGGGCGGCTCCCCATCCCGCGTCCCTCCCCCATCGGCCAGCAGCCACCAGCACCCACCGTCCTGGGGTGCAGAATCTGGAAGCCTGAGCCTCACAAACCGAGTGACACGGAACCCCCTTCCCCTCCTTGGGACAGGAGCGGCTGCAGCCAGCCGAGCCCACCAGGTCCTCGGGCCACCAGCCCCCTCCTGGCCCACGGAGGCTCCTCCCCCGCCTTCCAGCCTGGAGAAAACACAGCTCTTAGGGCCTTAGGGTTTTGGTTTCTCTGATTAATAGACTTATTTTTAGAGCAGCCTTAAGTTTACAGAAAAACTGAATGGAAAGTACAGCCAGTTCCCTGCACGCGCCCCACCGCCCCCCTGGACGGCTTCCCCGAACGCTAAACTGATGTCGCTGCTGTGAGGCTGTTGTAACGGGCAGACCCGCGCTGGCCCAGCGCCCCCACCAGGCCGCCCTCTGCCTGTGCCCTCGCCGCAGACCCCTCTCCCTGCCCCAAATCCCCTATGCCTGCAGGCTCAGGCCCCCCTCCCCAAGAGGAGGGGGCAAGGCTGGGTAGGAATAACCAGCCGGAAGAACTATTTATAAGCCGTTTCCTGGAACCCAGGCCTTGGCTGGTGTGGACGCCAGTCTTTCTCTGCGTGTCATCTGCTGGAAGCTCTCCTTCCCTTCCCTGTAAACCCAGAGCAGCCTCCCCTCCTGCTACCCCGCACTTCCTCCGCCTTCTGGAAGGCCGGCCTGCGCCAGCTTTCAGGGACATCTGAAGCGCAGCCGGAGGGCCCCGGCTGGCCCGGTCCCTGCAGCCTGCGGCCCCTGATCTCTTGGTCTCCAGGCGGAGTTCAAGCCCCACGGTGGGTGTGGAGCCTACGTTCAATGATGGGCCGCCAGCTTCCTCCCTCGCGAGTTCCAGGCATCCCCACGCCCGCAGCAGGAAGATCCCGGCCTGCCTCACCCCTGCTCTGGGCACCCCCAGCCCCTCACCCTGCTGCATCACCGTCCGCCAGAGGCAACGGAATCGGGGGTTTATTCTGTTATTCTGATGCGCGTGTCTGCTTTGTCCGGGACAGGTGCTGGCCTCGACGGGGTGAAGGAGATCAAGCGGCATCCCTTCTTCGTGACCATAGACTGGAATGTAAGTCGTCGCACGTGGCAGTCCCGCCTCTCAGGGACAGCGGGGAACAAGGCAGGGGCACGGCAGGGGCACACCAGCTGGGCACAAGCCAGAGACCAACACGGCCCTGTGACCTGGAGTAGGGTTCCCTCCCCACAGCCCCGGGCCCCAGATCCCTTATCACTTGGCCCTTTGAGGCAAGTGCAGATGACCCTGCGGCCTCGTCCACCCACTGAGGACGGAGCAGAGATCACCGTCCATCCAGCAGGCGGCTGCAGGAGCCCCTCCGCTCACTGGGCCGCTGGGCCCCTGGGCGCCGTGGGCCTCTGGGCCGCTGGGCTGCCGGGCTGCTGGGCCCCTGGGCGCCGTGGGCCTCCGGGCCGCTGGGCTGCCGGGCCGCTGGGCCCCTGGGCGCCAGGCAGTGGCCCACGTGCAGGCCTCTGGGTGCTGGGCCCCTGGCATCTGGGATACTGTGCTGTTCTCCAGCCTCTGCTCAGGCCCGGGCCCACTCAGCGAGCGCTCCTGGGGAATTACTAGAGAAACAAAATATCACCCAGACTGTTAAAGACAGAATCATGGCTGACACTTGTTAATGACCTAAGGAGGACTCACCATCACGATGCGTTTGCGGAGCACCAGGCTGGGGCTGTGTCGGAGGGAAATGGGGCTCTGCCCGGCCGAGCTGGGGCCCTCGGGTTCGTGGTGGGGGCGGGGCGGGGGTGGATGGAGACGAAACGCCAGGCGTGAGGGGCTCCGGGTAAGTGGTGATCAGACAGACGTCACCGGGTCGGGGAGGGGGAGGAGACCCCCTCAGAGGTCAGCCTCTGCCTCCCGTTATCCCGGCCGACGCCACGAAGCCACTTGGAGCTGGATGCGGGGCCCCCGAGTCGCATTCCCCCAGCCGCTAGGAGCCGTTTCTGGGCCCCCAGCTTGGGGACGGTGCCCCGAACAGCCTGGTGCGCAGAGGACGCCCTCCTTTGGTGTAGTTTCTCTCCGTCCTTTCCTCTAGGTCAGCACGGCAGTTACCTGTGGGGGGCTGCACAGACGTGAGGAAGAGAATGACTGTCCTCTCTTCCCTCGGTCCTGGTGTCCTGGGGAGCGTGGGGCCTCGGCCACTGCCCGCAAGGAGTGGCTCCGTGGCCACCAGCCCCCAGGCGTTCCCGCCCATGCTGCTTACGGAGCTCCTGACCCGCCTCCCCGCACCTCCTCCTCCCCCTCCTCCCC